TAACGTCTACTGCCATTGTTAACGACCAAGACAAATTTCTCCCTGCGAGATAAATAAAGATTGTCATTGTCATTGTCATTGTCATTGTTGATGATTTCCACTGTATTAAAAGTACAATAATTTACTGAAGGAAGGCACACGTATTGCTTTACTTCATTTTGCTTTCTATGCTATGAATTTTAAAAAATATATTATAATGTATTTGTATGATTGATTCAACCTGTTATTTTCATGAATTGTTATAACTCTGTTGATGAGACCATACTTTGACTTGACACTGCTTGGATTGGCTTTAAACAAGTTGGGATGACATTCCTGTTAGTTTTCCTCCCATATATCGATCTGAAATGGTCAGTTTGGTGTGCTCTTTCTCACAAAGTGAAATCCTGTTCCGTTTACTCTCTCAAAGTAGATCTAGCGGGTACAATAACGATCAATTCAGCTGAGGAGTACTGAGCGTTAAGATAGCCCAAACAAAGCCACAAAGGATCTTACATCTGAGACTGTCAGGACATGCATAAAGCTTTTGTTGAATATTCTGAAACCTGGAACATCTAAAAAAAAAATTTTATAACTTGATCTTTCATTTCTGTTGATGAAACATTTTGAAACTTGAAACATCTAAAAAAATTTTTTTATATAATTTTTAAAAATCTTGTGTTTCTGTTGATGAAATCACCATCCACATGGTAAATCTTACCCGAAATATTCACAATTCTTTTTTAAATGTAGAATTTTTTTTCCCCCTGTTAATAGGCTACAATCTAAATCATTGAAGAGGCTATGCCTGTCAAAGTCAACTGGGGCCAAGAGGGATACAACATCCCAGCACACAGACCGAGACACTAGATACAAATTCTCCCCACTTGGGAATCAAACCGGGGTCTCTTGCAAAACAATAAGATATTCAAGATTTAATATTTCTGTCGGTCCCTTTAGAAAGACGTTGTTGGCTTCATCGGTCATGTGACATCGGTGTGCGGAGAGGCTTGTTACTCTTCTGTGTACCGCTGTCTGGTGGTGTAGTGTTCAGGCACTTTGCTGTCGCACGCAGGAGACTTGAGTCCAATTACTGAGTGGGGAGAATTTTGTATCAAGGAAAGTATCTTGGTCTTTCTCTGCTGCTGCTAGGATGTTGTATCCCTTTCTGCCTGGGTTGGCTCTGAAGGGCAGGGTGGGAAGTCTGCCTCATAAAAGATCTAAATTGTGTGGATGAGGGTGTAAAAACACTTTGGCTACATTTAACAAAAAAAACCCCCAACCAAAACTCCTGTAAAGCTCCTAAAGAGATTCCTTGCCGGGAAGGAACCTTCACTCTTTTTAAACCAAAACTTGCATAAAATCTCTCATGCTTTTGATCTCGTGGATGGTCGAAGGGCACCCTTGTTGGTAGGTCCTATTCTTTTCTATCCCTCTGTTATTGCTGTCTGTCCGTCTTGTTTCTTCCTTGCACTTTATGAGAGTTATTGTGTCAATGTGTTTCTCTTTACTCAAAATCTAAGCATTTCATCTAAAGTTTTTATTTAATTTCGAAACCTTACTGAGCATGACATGTTGGCCTTTTGACTAAAACCCAAATTTTGACATTTAAAAAAATTGCAGTTTCTTACTTTGTGGTATTACTGTTAATTGCATCTGTGCTCAAGAAATATTTTGTCAAAATCTAAATTCTAAATGTTGGAAAAAAGTAAGAAATTATAATACATATATATATAGTGTTGGTGTTCCATTTTTATAATAGGCTGCAACAGTTTTTTCTCTCTCCTGAAAAATGTTGGTTGTCTGGGCTTATATTAGAACATTTGACCATCTTGTTGATGACATATTATATATATAATGTTAGTATGTTATGACGTCGTTCCTGCCGCCCACTCCTGTTTGATGGTGCTACTTCTGCTGGAAGGTTTTTGTCCTGGAAAGTTTTTATCCAAGTTTTCTTCTCTGTCATTCTGTGCCTGACTTTTGCTCAATGAAATCCTTTTTCTGTCAAGCTTGTTTTTATGTCAGCGTTTTTCAGTGAGAAATAACTTCCTATATTTTGTACAGAACTGATGTTGTTAGGGGACGAATGCATAATAATAAAATGTGGCATGACGCGGTGGAATCAGGCTCTCGTCAATTTTTGGGCATATGGAGTTGATGGTATCATCTTAAGGCCTGTCCATTTTCCTTGTTTTAGGTGAAAATGACATCCATCTATGTTGAATAGAAGTCGAGATATGTGTGATTGAAGGAGGTGAGGGTCATCTGGTTTCAGAGGTAAAATTAGCGAGAAAATGGCCGCCAAAGTCGAATTATTTTTTTAGCTTGAGAGTCCGTGGATACTTTAAATTAACTCTTCTTCTGTCTTTAATCAACGCTTTTCAGTAAAATCCACACAGAAATGTGCTCTCTAATGAGCATGAAAGGTGTTGAGCCAAAAAACAAATATTTGATAAAAATTCTCAAACCTGCGGAAAAATGCCAATTTCTTGACTTTGATTATGTTGAGGAGTGCCTGATTTGACCTCGCTGCCTCACAAATGTACATAATGTTCTTTGATTATGTTGACAAGTGCCTGATTTGACCTCGCTGCCTCACAAATGTACATAATGTTCATATTGTTACGTTATGGAGGCCAATTCTTGTCGCATTGCTTCTGTATCTTTTTTAATACCCTTTGTTTAATACACATTTTGATTTTCACACAGTACCACCAAATTTAACTAGATTAATAAATTCGTGACCTTCAAAATCAAACCAGACATGTTTGCTTTTCAAGGTTGCAAGTCGAATTGATCGTATTGTGCCATTATGCCAAAATGGTGGCTTATGCCCCTTCCGTGAAGGAAAATGTGGCTGGGCCTCTATTATCATTGATGAATCGGATTTGCACTAATTTGCAGTGTGCATTGGGTATAAAGCTACAAAAGAGAAAATGTAACCCAGATTTTTTCAGAACAGTTTGATATGGATCGAAATTGAAGTTGAAGGCCAATTAATAGCTTGGAAGTTGGTAAGTAGAAGGGAATTGATAGACTTGGAATAATTGTCAATGACTTTCAGGGGTTTTGAATGGTTAGCTGAATGCAAATTATGTATTTTGGGTACTGGTGTCTTGTTCATTTGTCATTGTTTGACCAAATGTGAAGCGTGCTGACAAAATGAGTTACATCTCGGATTCAGGCCTTCAGGAAATAGATACATCACACTTATAGGTGAAGTTTTTACAATTTATAAGTATGAAATAAAAGGTATGTTATACTTAATAAAGAATATAATGGCATCAATAGAAAATCTACAAATTTGGCCCGAGTGTCAACTTTTGGCCAGTATCTCCATTTGTGGACTGCGAGAAGTAACTCGTTTTGTCAGCGCGCCTCACAAATCTTTTTCAAAGTAGGGTGTACGGCAGTGTACTCAAACGTCCCAAATTAAAATTTTTTTTAAAGCTGGCCCTTTTAAGAATACCTTCTGTTGGTGTGTTTGAAAATAGTTTCTGCTGCTAATGACGAGTCAGTTGTAAGTTCAAGTAGTTTCTGCTGCTAATGACGAGTCGGTTGTGAGTTCAAGTCCCGGTCTATGCCATCGGCAGATTTGTCAACATGAGACGTACAATGAAGTATTTCATGTAGCAAAGCTTTTACTTCATATTTCTGTGTTTTTTTCAAATATCGTTGCCCTTGTACATGTAATAAGACCAGCTAACCCTAGCCGATTAAGCTTTGAAAGAGAAGAAAAAAAAAAAGTACATGTATTTGGTTTCATCACCACTGGGGAATTAAACTCAAGTCTCCTCCATGTGGAAGAAACTGCTCAACTGCTACATCATAAACTTCGCTCAGACATACACTGGGTAATTTCGTTTTCCCCCCTAATCAGTAAAATATATCAGAAGAAAGTGACAATAAGTTAAAATGTTTTATAATAAACCCTGCCATTATCTATACAGGTCATGTCATTGATCGTCATGTTATTTTTTATATATATATATGAGGAAATACACAATATGTAGCCTACTTACACAATTTGTACTTTTTATCTTGCAAAGGGAGATCCGTTGATTGCTAAATTTGCTGAAGGACCAACGAAACAGCTTGTTGCTATTTTATTAAGTTTTACATTTTAAGGATTGCATGCAATGAAAATGATGAACAATTGTTCCCTCTTCATAATCTGTATTTTTTATTTTTCCACTTTTGTAATGTTTTCTACAGCTGACCCGACATTTCTGTTCTCAAGACTCTGTTGTGCAGCATGGGACCATGTTTTATAAGCCAACACTTTCACTTTATACAGTCTGTTGTTTTACCAAATAAAGACATGTTATCAATTAATGAATTGATCTTTTTTTTTTATTCGTGCTAGTGGATGGTTGGAGGGTGCTCTGGTGTGGTTTGCTCCTTCTTTCCTATCAAACATCTATCGCTCTCCTCCTCCTTTTTTGTGTTTGTAACTCCCTTGTAACACCTCTAATCTTCTACACTTATATGACCTTATTGTGTTGCAAGTGCCGTAAAACTCTTACGAAAACCAAAAATTATTAGTGCTGATGACTGCTGTTGAATTGTTCAAACGTGTTCTTCTGGGGCACTGTTGATTGATTGTACTGACCAGAGTCTTCAAATATCAGGGGAAGTTTGGAAATGTTGTCTTGTGGCGTCGATGGCCTAGTGGTTAGGCACTCGGACTCGCAACCGTAAGGTCATAGGTTCCAATCCCGTCAGGGGCCCGATGTTGTGTCCTTGGGAAAGGCACTTGACACAAATTTTCCTCACTACTCCCAGGTGGCGGAAATGGGTATTCGGCTATAGACAGTAAAAGATCTTGTCTGTTTGATTATAGTGTTTGAGCGCGTGAAATCCGCAGCCCGCTCTGTATGCTTCCGCGGAAGCCGAGAATGTTTCAGAGTGTTCTCAGAGGGTCTGCTGGGGTAATAATAGTTTTAAAGCGCATAGAGCATGCTCTAGAGCTTGGATATGCACTGTATAAATGCAATTATTATTATTAATATTAAAAGGGATAGGCCCGTACCTTTTTCAACTTTTAACTTTAATTGAATGAAGCGTTGACAATGGACATTTCGGCCTTTCCATAAAAAGGGAAAAACATCGTGGAGATGATAATCTACAGACAAAAATTCTAAGCAGTGACAGAGCGTCACAGAGACTTTCTTTACCGTTGTTTTTGGCAGATACAACTTTCCTCTAACTAACACACAGAAAAACGAACAACGGCTCCATCATTGGGAAATGTCTTGGGATCGTTTATCGAGGTTTTGATGGGGCAACGTGCCAAGTTTTTTTTCTTTTAAAAAAAGTTAATCAAAACAAATTAGGTCATTTAAGAGGCAGGCTTCTGACCCTGCCTGTCTGGACCAACCTGGGTTGAGATGGATACAACAATATCCAGCAGAATTACGTAGACATTTCGCAACTTCAGTGCTTTCTTGTCCGGTCTCCATTTTTAATAACTGTGAAAACAGTTCATAATAAAGAGTGAGCTTAAGAAAATGTCACATTTAAAAAAAAAATGGAGATACGACAAGAAAGCACTTGGGTCGCGATTTGATAAAAATTCTCCCCTCTTAGGAATTGAACCTGGGTCTCCTGTGTGGGAAAGTGAAGCACCTACCCTGAATAAGATGACTGTGTGTTATGACAGACACAAAACTACTGTGAAGTCCACTGAAAAACAGAAACCTGCAGGACAGTCGGATTTACATCGGTTTACAGAGATTGCGTGAATATTGTTTCGTACATGCATTTATGTAAAGCGCCGAGAGCTGTGTTTACACGGGAGTGGGCGCTATAGAAATGATCTTCATTATTATTATTATTATTAAATAGAGAAAGAAAACAACGTGGGATTTAGTTTCTTTTGGTTTACCGTTGTTTTTGGATCATAGCGCAGCCTCTCTATTACGACATCGTCGGAACCAGAAACAAATATTGTCCTAGAGAGTTGTCGTTATAGAGAGGCAACCAAAAATTACGTATAATATACATTGTTCATTCATTCATCCAGTGCCAGATCTGCGACAGACATCGGCGATCATGATTTTCCATTCATTCCTTTGCTCGGATGCTCTCAGAAAAGCTACGTTTCCCTGATCTTTCCCTGTTACCCATTTGTTTAGGTTCCCTAAGTATGTTGTTCTGTCCTACCCCTGCCTCGCTTGCCTTCAATTTTGCCAGTGAGAGCAAGATGTTCAAGACCCTTATGTCTATTCAGGTGTCCCAAATAAGGCACTTTAAGGCTCAATATACATTGTATATAAGGAAAAAATCGTGACCTGGGCACCATGTTGCTATACAGAGGACGTCGTTATGTCAAAAGTCGTTATAGAGAGGCTGTACTGTATTAAAAGTATGTTTGGTTTAAGCAGACTCCACATAGTAGGCTATAGTCTAGCATGCACAAAGCGAAATCGGTGAGACGCTGAAATCTTTTCATCATGTACAACTTTCGCTATGTAGATATTTTAACTCCTTCCGTATGCAAGGGATTCCACAGTTTTACACTCGCAAATTGAGGTAGTAAAGTGTTGCTTTCAAATGGCTATAATTCAGTCAAATATTGATGAATTTTAGTTTTAGTAGAGGTTTTACAGCGCTCGGAACTGCATAAGGTCCTATGAGCGCCAGAAGATTAGATGTGTTACAAGAGAGTAACAAACATAAAAAAGAAGGAGGGGAGATAAGGATGATAAATCTACATTTGAAAGGAAAGAAGAAGCAAACCACACCAGAGCAACGTGGAATTTATTTTCTTTCAGTTTACCGTTGTTTTTGGATCATAGCGCAGCCTCTCTATTACGACATCGTCGGAACCAGAAACAAATATTGTCATGTATAGAGAGTTGTCGTTATAGAGAGGCAACCAAAAATTTCTTAAAATATACATTGTATAAGGAAAAAATGGGGACCTGGGTACCATGTTGCTATACAGAGGACGTCGTTATGTCAAAAGTCGTTATAGAGAGGCTGCACTGTATTAAAAGTATGTTTGGTTTAAGCAGACTCCACAGTAGGCCATAGTCTAACATGCACAAAGTGAAACTGGTGGGACACTGACAGAGGCAGCAAGGTTAAATTAAATCAGGCGCTCTTCAAAATAATGAAAGGTAAAAAACTAGCATTTATCCGCAGGTTTGGAAATGTTTATAAACTTTTGGTTTTTTGGCTCAACACCATTGATGTCCATTAAGGAATACATTTCTGTGTGGATTTTATTGAAAAACGTTGATTAAAGGCATAAAAATGTAAATTTTAGGTTTCCACAGACTCTCAAGCTTAGGAAATAATTAGGCCTAAACTTTGATGGCCTTTTTCTTGCTAATTTTACCTCTGAAATCAGACGACCCCCCATCTCCTTCAATCGCCAATACCTCGACTTGTATCCAAGATAAATGGATATTTTTTTCAATGAAAGTGAAAGCAAGGCTGATGGACAGGCTGGAAGATGATACCAATAATTACTCCATATGTCCAAAGAGAAAGCAAGGCTGATGGAAAGGCTTGAAGATGATACCAATAATTACTCCATATGTCCAAAAGGAACAATTGACAAGCGCCTGATTCCACCATGTCGGGACACATTTTTATAAACTATGATATATACTTCATTAAAATTTTTTTTAGAAAAGTAGCATGAACTGGAACTCTGAAACCGATCTGTTGGCTTAATTTTATTTAGTTTTCAACAGCTGTGTATAAATGTCATGTTTCAGCAATGGGTGTGGTCTACACTACTGTTTATTCAAGAACACATTTCTTCAATAGTAAATGTACCACCATGGACATAATGTGTTAAGTTTGTCATGAAAAACTCTTTAGCATTACTGGCTTTGTACATTTGCAATTAAATAAAGTCTTTTTGTACATTAGAATATTCTCAAAAACGAAGAAGAAAAGATTTTTTATCAAAATTACAAGGTTAGGTCGACCATTTTGTTCAAAGCTGTAGTTGCCTTGAAAGATATATATGACATATTTTAGAGAAATAGTTGTTCTAGTTTAAGTGCGGCAAGTGTTTTACGGCGCTCTCAACTGCATAAGGTCGTAATGAGCGCACAGGATCTCAAGTTTCAACAATGCTGCTTTGACAAAAGTATCATAAAGTTCACCGCGCATGTCTGAAACAGCATCCCTATATATCCGTTCCGAGCCGGCAAAGCATCGGTGAACTGTCTGGGAAAGCATGCACATGATTTGTTTGTATGTTTTAGTAGAGGTTTTACGGCGCTCGCAACTGCATAAGGTCATATGAGCGCCAAGGGGTGGGTGTCAACAGAGAAGTCCAAACGGGGAATCAAGCTTACTCAGCTCACCTTTCTAGCCTCAACAGCACAAAGTCTGCTTCGACTATCAAGGCACCCCGGAAATACGTACCAACCAAGGAGTACCAAATGTTGTATAGTCTAGTACATGGGTACTGTTACAGTCTTATACCCAGTGCACACTGACAATCAAATTCAGTCAAACTGAGTCGCAGCCAGCCATATTTTCCTCCATGGTGGGGCAAAAGCTACAATTGTGGCACAATTGGACGCGTTTAATTTTTAAGGTCACAATCAAATTTAGTCTTATTCGGTCGAATTGTGCCAAAATGGCAGCTTTTCTTATTTGTTTTAGTAAGAGTTTTACGGCGCTCGCAACTGCATAAGGTCATATGAGTGGGCAAATGGTAGCTTTGGACCCTCCATGGAGAAAAATCTGGCAGGCCCCGACTCAATTAATGAAATGAATTTGATTGTCAGCGTGTGCTGGGTATAACACAACTGTTCCAATGATCCGCCATGTCTCTGTCTGCCCTCGCCACATCCACACCCCTCAAGTACACAGCAGGTCACCGTGGGAGAGCACTGTGTTTCACGCCCTCTCAGAAATTGTAGCTGCGTTTTTGCACCCTCATCAACACAATTTACATCATATAGGAGGCGGGCTTCAATCCTGTCTGACAAGGCCAAACTGGGCCGAGAGGGATACAACGTACCAGCAGAAAGAGCGAATTATTCAATTAAAATGTTCCCCACTTGGGAACTGAACTCGGGACTCCTGCGTGCAATGACCTAAACGCTTCACGACAGACGCAGGCTTTCAAAGGTTGTCAACTGAAACCAGAAATACCATTGTCTGTCTTCGAGGACCATCCATTGTTGGCAGCACTTTCGGTACGAAAAAAAAAGTACAAGTGGGTGTATGAGTTAAGTGCCCCTTTAAACACTGTCAGGTCATTTAAGAGACGGAACCTCCGAATTTAACGTCCGTCTCTGACAGGACTGTGACAATTGGGCGGACGGCCTTGTTGGAAACACAAACAAACTGCCCTGAGATCTAGAAAGTCCAGTCTGGGGTTCAAAACAGGGCCATCCGCTCCGTGGACGAGCATCCCACCAACTGAGCTAACGGAGTGACGGCACTTGTGAGGTTTGACTCAATGCTTGCCCGGGACGATGACTCGGCGCTTTCGCCTGTGCCTGGCCACTCTCTGAGCCCCAACTCTCCGCGACGACTCGTAGCGAGCGTGGGTGTGGGGCGGAGGGGGCGGAGAGGCGAGTGACCGGCAGTCCCAGCTCCCCTCAGTCTCCGTCTCTGACAACGGGAGGTGAGCGTAGTGTGGCGGCAGCTGATGCACCAAACCATGAGGTTGAGGTTTGAACCCTCGTCGTTCACCGGTGAGATGGTCGCTGCTGTCCGGAAATTCCTCGAGTTGTGGCGGGCAGAACATTGCACCCCTCGTGTTACCCTCGAGGTAAACTGCGCCAGGGGGTACCGGTAGATCGAGACCTCTGTAGTCAACGCCGACGTTCAGCGTGGGAGGAGGCTTCAGCAGATACACTTCCTTGTTATGGTGGAAAGTTCCGTCGCTTTCCGCCTCCAGTTCTTTCTGTCTTTGGCCGTTGACATATGGTGCCGGGAGGTTGTGGGCCAACACTCTGCACGGTAAGGCTCTCTGATTGGCCGACATCCACCGAGAATGAAGACACTGATTTGTCAGGTCACACTCGTGTTGGTACCAGCACTGACTTGGATCAGAATCCTCCAATGTTCTGTTTTTTCTGCGTGGGTCATCGCCCGACTCGAACCTCCGCGTTTTTATGGCAGATCTAGACCGGTGTCTCTCTCGATACGGCTTCGGATCACACCCCCGGCCGTACTGCACTCTTCTGCACCGACTTGGAATGTGATGGCAACAGCTGGTACATTGTGACAACGTTGTTTGCGCACGTGGTAACCGGGTCCTGGTGGCATCATATTGCCAGGTGACACCAGCGGCCACAGTGCCTTCAGCTATTGTGTTGTTGCCACGGACAAAAGAACGGCCTTCTCTGCTATAACTCGCGTCGTCTGTCCCATCAGTGTCTGCAGAGTCTATGACAAAGACACAAGAGTTGTCTCCATTCCTCGCCGCAGCCATTGCTGTTCTAGCAGGGACATCGGGCTGTGGGGAATCCCCTCTCTCCCCGGCCTGAGTTTGTGGCAGACCGGCGCCGTTATAGCACGGCTTGTACCAGTCAAAGCTCACCTGGCTGTACGTGGACTCTGTCGATTTAGAGCCGTTCCCGGCAGGACGTCCCTCCCCCTGGGTGCTGCTGGAAGCCTGGCCACTACATCCCTGGCACTGACTGCGGCTGCTACATCCCTGGCACTGCACATTTGTTGCTATTGATAAGTTCCCCCGAGATGTACTCGTAGTGGCCAAGTGATCTTCCAGAGACAAGTTTCTCGCACAAACGTCAGTATTCTCGTCATCTTTTGAGATATCACTTCCAAACGTTACCCGATGCTCCCTGGGAGACGAGTGACATGGGCAGATGTCTGCCGTACATTCACCACCGGTCTGTGGGGAGAGCAACATGGATGACTTGTGGGAGGAAGAGGAAGTCCGCTTATTGTTGTTTTTGGTGACTCTGCAGGCTGTGGAGAAAGTGGCGTGAGTGGCCGATCTGTCGGGAGAGAGTGTGCGAGTCAGGGCAGTGCTGGTCAGATTGTCCGGAGTGACCGGAGAGCCCACACAGCCTCGCTGTAGATACAAATGTTCACACAACGTGGGAGACGGCGCGGGTTGGGAAAATGTTGCGCTGTTGTTGGACTGATGAGCCGATCGAGCCGCTCCCTGGCCGGCCAGCTCGCCTTTCTTTTTCTTTTCCTGGATCAGAGCTGACGTGACGTACCTCGTGGTCTTCTGGTCGCGTCTGGCAGAAACACTCTGATGAGAGAGTAGCCCCCCCTGGGCAGGTTTTTGTGGAGCGGCCTCCGACCACGTGCGCCTGGATCGTCTGCCCGTTGGCCACTTCAAAGTCTCCAGCTCCGGTCTCGCTGTGTTTTGCCCGTTCACCGATGGGACGAAACCTTTCTGGAGCCTGTCGTTGTAACTGCTGTTGGAGACTTTGCGAGTGGCTGCCTCAGGCGTGGTTCTGGGGGGGTCTTGTTGCGAGGACTCCGGCTTGTTCACGCTGGTGTGGCTCCGTGGTGTCGTCAGCTGGTGCTTGCCCTCCTGGCTGGGTCCGCCTGTGGCAGACGTCGTGCGAAGATTGTCGGGAGAGGGGAAGGTCACAACGCTTCCTCGCGGCCCTTGACCTTTCACCTTGTACCTCGAGCCGCCCGGTGCCCCCGCAGTTTCAAGCTGGCGTGTGGCTGCCAGAGAAGTGTCCACGTCGCCACTGTCCAGGATCTCTATCTGCCCGTAACTTGAGCTGTCCACGGTGGGCGTCTGTCCACTCTCCCCCAGCCGGCGGTTCTTCCCCCGAGATATGGTGTGTGTGAGGGCGGCGTCCTCGTGTGGGGAATCCACCTCGTGCGGACTGTCCGCTGCGGGGGAAGGTCGGCCCGGAGCAGGACTCAGGTGCCACATGACCGGTTCTTTGCTTCTCCACGCCGCGGCTCTGTGTGGTGGCGTGGTTGTCGCTGCTGCATTCCGCGCAGCGTGGTCTTGGGGTCTGCCCGGGTCATCGTCCGGACCGGCGCGGCTCGTGACCAGACTCTCGCTGATCCAGCTGACCTCCACGTCTGCTGAGCTCTGTACTGACCCACGAGCCGTGGGCTTCTGACTCACCGCGGGCGTCTGAGGGGTTGCGGGGAGAACAGCGTCTGCCGGTGAGTCTCCAAAGTTCTCTAAAAAGTTGACGCGATTGCTCACGGCTGTTCTTTTGAGCCGCGGTGGTGGCAAAGGACTTGCGGACGGTTTGTCCGTTGTGAAGGATTGTGAGGGGATTCCTTGATCGGGGTGTTCGGCCTTTGGTTCGCATGTGGCCGTGAGCTCCGTGGCGACGTCGGCACAGCCTGTGTGCTGTAAATGTTCTTCTAGCGAGTGGTAATGTCGCCTCTTCTTGGACATGGGTGTTGAAGCCACCACAGGTCTCAAACCTTTACCTTTCTCCAGCCAGTAGGACATGTTTGGGCTGGCGCTACTGTCCGCAGTGAAACTGGCCGACTTTATGGAAACCCTCTCGAGATTCGAACCCATTTTGTCCGGGGAGCTGCTTGGACACGGGAGCTCGCTGCTCGACGGTGAGTGTTTCCGGATCACTGTGTAGCTGTTACTGTCCTTGACCGTGGGTGGCACGGGGCGTGTGGGGGAGTCGTGAGCGCTGACCGTCACTAGCTGGGCAGCTGAGCTGACGGGAGATGTGGGTTTCACCGGGGAAATATCCTCGCTGTTCTCTTCCGAAACGACCAGTGTTTTCTCCAGGTCAACGGTTGGCTGTGAGAGTGTGCAGCGATTCCTCTTCAACGCCCCCTGACCTGTGATCAGTACGTGAGGTGTGCCGGCCCAGGGCTGTGTCGTGACATTGTCGTCAGACCCTTGACTTTTGCTCCCGACTTGTTTGGTTTGTTTATCGGTGTTTACAAAATACCGAGCAGTTCTGGGCGTTTTCGGTGACGCACGCTCAGTTGTTTGGATGGCTCTCCAAGCGTCGTCTGTGCTTTTCCCCTGAGAAATAGCTGCGTGTTTTGCTCTGGTCAGTTCTTGACGGTGGACCAAGGTGGGTTTTTGCACCTGCTCCTTTTCCCACACTGCAGTGTGTGGCTTCTGTTTTCCCCTCTGGTGGATCTGGGCTGCCAGGCTGGCAATAGACGGGGCCATTGCTTTCTGCAACGCCAAGTGCACTTTGGACAGTTCTTTTTGGAAATCCGGACAACACTCTGAAGCAGATGGCATCCTTCTGCCCAGAACTGGTTGGCCTTCAAGGGACACTTCTGCCTGTTCAAAGACAGCGCTGTTATCTTGTGGCGTTCTGTCCGTCGTGTGAAATCTCACTTTTATTTCGTCCAGATATTTTTCCCTTAGTTTGTCCACATTCTCTAGCTGGGAACGGCTTTGTTTGCAGGGAAGGGTGCCCTCATCTTGCCCCGGGCTGGGAGTTCTGATGTCGCAAAGACTCCTCACGGGGCTCATGTTGGACATGGTCAGCTTGACCACCGCCTGGGAACAGCTGTTGTGGGCATTGTCTGATGAGGAGCAGTCTGAAAGTTGTGAGTTTGTGTCAAGTTTCTCCGGCAGCGAGTCAGGTAAAAGACTCTCTTTCACATCCTCCAGGTCTAGGGAGTGGAATGGAGACAGCTCCGTGGAGTCTCGCTCGCCAGACGAGGGGGGAGACAGATCCCAGGTGTCTCCTGTCATTGGCTCCACATCATTGACCACGTCTTCTCTTTCTCTGTGTTTGTTCACTGCCTGACGCTCTTTCCTGGCCAGGCCAGACGGTCGCAGCACTGCCAAGTCCGGGCGGCTAGTTCGGACCTGCTCGTGATTTAATGCTTTCTCTTTACGAAGTGACGGGGAACGAGTCTGTTCCTTCAGCCCTACAGGCTGGAATTCTTCCTTGGCTTTGGCCAGTTGGCTCATGGTCAGCCTCAAACTTCTGCCTGCAGAGTCCAGGCTCTGGCCACCCGAAGACCTCCACTTGAGCAACCTACTTTTGGTCAAGTGCCTTTGTTTCATTCGTTTACTTTTTATGTCGCGAGCCTCAGCCCTGTCCAGTGACCTTGATGTCGTCTTGCTGAGAACAGCGTTGGATGGGTTTTGCTGCGGTATACAGTTCCCATTTAGACTTGTAAAAAGATCTGATGGTGGTTCTTGTTCAGTCCTGCTGGACTTTGTCCTGTCACTCGAGACCACTCTGATCATGTCGAGAAGTTTGGCGGCTCTGTCGTTCCTCTTCGGGGTGCGCACCTGTGCCGGGGCCATAGCAGGGCTGATGGAGTAGTCCACCATCTTTTCAGCGCCTGAGGGAGGACTTGTGTCGGAGATTTTCTCCATCTCTTTCTTCAGCAGACTCTGGATCTGCCGCTTGAGCTGGCTGGTGCCCTTCCAGTGGGACGCCCGTCGGTGGCCGCCCTGAGAGGAGAAGCGGAACAAGGACGTGTAGCTGCTCTTCTCCGTGCCGCTGCTGGGGTGTTGGGGGGCGGCTACGGTCGGCTCGGGTCCTTTCGTTTTACTTCGGTCGTTGGAGGGCCAAAGTCCAGGTGGCTTGTAGGGAGAGAGTTTCTTCCCGTGCAGGGAAGACCAGGTCCTCCAAATGGGTATCCCGCTGGAAGGACGCTGGGCACGTCTTTTTTCCTGAGCAGGCAAACCTTTTGAGGTTTGTAGACGCCGGACATTTCCCATGTTCTCTGCTCTGCCCCACTTTGGGGAGATATTTTCTGATGTTTTGTTCTCTTTCTTTAGATTCTGCCCAGGCAAAGCATTGACGAGTTCTGGTGGTGCTCTGGAGCTGGGGTCTTGCTCCGGTGGGTTCACCAGTTTTTCCAGCGCGTCTGCTGCGATTGCAGCGGCTTGCTTGAGCGTTGGCGACGTCCCTGTGCCAGGGCTCATGTCTGCTTTGATCTTTTTCTGGTCGTAACTGTGGGTGGAGCGGAGATAGCCGGGCGGGGCCGCACTCGTCTTTTGTGTGTTTGGGGAGCTGCCAGGTTGGCTTTTCGATCTCTTCCAGTGGTCCCGCTTGTCTCCCCTGCTGGTCAGGCTCTTGTTGTTGGAATGGGAGATACCCCGAGTGGTGGAAGATTTTGGTCTGCTGTCAGTGGCCAGAGTCTGTGGAGAGTCCACAGGCAGCCTAGGGCTGGGCTGCGTCACTTTGCTCTCTGCACTCTGTCTCGGGGTTTTCCCGCCTCTCTTCAAGTAATGAACTTTCCTTTTGGGGACGTCGGGGTCATGTGACTTCTGACCCACTGCCGTCTGGTGAGGACCAGCGCTCTCACCACAAGAAGTGACCTTCATCTGTACCGGGCGGTTGGAGACGAATGTGTCTGGTCTGTCATCCCCAGCCTGACCTCCTCGCCAGTCCTCTTCTTTATTCGCAACTGCTCCAAACCGTAACAAAGTGGACGGCTCAGACGGCTGGGCCTCTGCCCTCTGCTGTAGCCAGGTTTTGTAACTGGCAGTGGTCGCTTCCCCTGTCGCCTGCTGGTGTTTGTGGCTGTTCTTTTTGTCCTGTCTCCACCTTCTGCTAGAGAGATACTCGGCGTCTGCCACATCCACCGGTTCACACCGACAGCTGTTTTTGCAGTGCTGGGATGAGGTGGCGCGTAGATCTCTGCGAGCCACCATTTGACCTTCATCAACCCTTTCTTTCATTTTTGACAGCAAACCAGTCTTTTCAATTTCCGAGGGTAGCCTTTTCAGAGGTCTTTGTGGCTGGAGCCTTTTGTGAAAGAAAAGTGTATTGTTAGTAGAGCTCTTATCGCTTAGTAGCAAAGATGACTGACATGACTTAGGAACAGGGCTATCCGAGTCATCCTTACTTCTTCCACGTACCTGCAGCCTATTCCGGCCATTATGTCTTTCCACATATTTCTCTTTTTGAAAATGACCATTGCCAGCATTTGGAACGTGTGTTTTATGAAAACTAGTTTTGTGTCTCGAGCCGATTTCATAGAGCGTTTTTTGAAGTTGTCGTCTGGCTTTATCGAGCCCGTGGTCGCACAGCTGGTTTTGTGGGCTAGTGGCGGGTCCCAGGAGCAGCGGTGAAGTAGAGCCGCTCTCGGCTTTGCTCTCTCTCTTGACCTGTTTGTAGCTGGGAGAGCTGGGCGCGGAACTCACCGAGGTGGCCTTCACCTTCCCCTGGTGCTCCAGCTGGGGGGCAATGATAATGATGGGCTCCGACTGCTGCATCAGATAGGGGATCAAAGCCGACAGGTTTTTCCCGACAGGGGACGTCTTCTGGAATTCCTTGTGCTCTTTCAAAATCGAGCCAGTTCGCCGAAGAGTAGGGACACGTGCCTTTAGCCTGTCATAAGTTTTCAATGCTTCTGTGGGCGTTGCCGTTTTCGTATCATGGTCTTTTTGGGTACCCTGGTAGCCGTGTGTTGTTCTGTTTCGGGAGTAAACAAACTCTTCTTCTTCATCAACAGCTGCTGTTCTCTGCCCGTGTCTGCACAGACCGTGCTCGGGAGCTGTCTTTCTGTCAGAACATTGTGGCCGTGGGGCGCCCTCAAACTGTGTTGCTGGCACAGCTGGCAACTCTTGCCCGGTCCCGAGGGAAAACAGAGAAGGTGTCGATCGACGGTTTGCGTTTGTTGAAATGACGTATCGTGGGATCTTGCTCTGAAACACACGCCCCTTTCTCTGTGTGGCCCTTGTCTCTTTCTTAATGGTGCAGGGGCTGATGTTTGCTGGACTCTGAGCTCCTTTGGAGGTCAAGTGTACCTGATAGACACTATCAGTGCACGCGTCTTTCCTCTCACTCTCGACTTTCTCGCCATGGTCAAGGTCGTTCTCACCCTGGGCAAAGAGGGTCTCCTCTGCCTGGTCTTTTGTTCCACTGAGAGATGTTTGGGCATTGGGCTGTAGTGAGGGTTTGTCCAGGTCTTTGCTGTCATGAGTCCCGACATCGGCGCTTTTGGTCATGGAGGTAAGAGACTCCACCATGCATATATTGGACTGGATGAATCTACTGGTCACCCCCATCCTCTGACCTTTGACTCCACTTTCTCGACTGTCAGCTTCGGACGATTCCATCTTGTGGACAATATCCTGAGGACTGAGGTTTGTGCTGACGTCTACACTGACGTCATGACTGGCAAGGTTGGCTAGGCTGAGCCTGGGGGCGGTGTCCGTGGGGAAGGCAGGCAGAGAAAAGTTGGACAGTATGTTCAGTGTGCTCTGGGAGTGGTCTCTCTTTGACGAGTCGGCGCTTGCGTCCTTGGAGGCCGACGGCTTTTGCCTTGTGGCGTCCTTCACCACACCTCTCTGGCCGACGTCCCTGGGCCTGTGTGGATCTAGATCTTTGAGCTCAGGGTTGTGGCCCCTCGGCTCAGGGCTACAGCATGTAGGCTCAGGACTGCTCATGTAGCCCAAAGCCACCTCGGAGAGAGCTCTACCTCCCTCTGAACTTTGCTTTTCAGCCCCGCATTCATTTTTCCTCCCTGTCTTTGAAACGGGTACTCTAAAGAACGTGTACTTGTGCATCTTAGGCCGCTGTTTGAGCAGCCTTGGAACTTGCCTGGGGTAGCTAGGCCTCACCTTCAGAAGTTCCTGTTGTGCGCCACGAGGGGGCTGGCCATTGGCTCCCAGCTTCAGTCCAAAACCTCTCTTTTTCTGCAGCGACAGCAAAACCATCCTGTTCCTCTTAAAGACAGACTCGCCGACTCTCGTTTCCGGCCGCCATTGCTTCAATGGAGCCAGCTCATCATTTTCCTCCCCGACATCTTTCCTGATAGTTTCGCAACCATACAGGCTTCTGGACGTAAACTCCTTATTTCCTGGCTTCAACTCTCGGGCCGCAGACTGAGCCGTCTTCTCAGCCACTCTCTGCTCCGCTCTGCCTGGAACTTCCTCTCTTCTGCCATCTGCTGTGTCTCTGTGCTCAACACCGCGGGTGTCCCCAGAAGCCCTCTTTCTGTGTGGTCGCTGAGTAGAGTAAGGGGCAAACTTCCCCACCCCAGAGCGAGGGACAGGCACCTTGGACACCCGGCTAGCCTCACACTGGCAGTAGAATGTCTTCTGACTTCCCACGGGACACTGGGGGTTAGTGGAGGAGGGGCAGGTCTCCGGCCCATCTTTGCCTACCATTTTGCCTACCACTATGTCTCTTTCGGCCGCTCTGGGAACGCTTTGAAATTCTTTGTTGAACTCTACCACTTTGGAGGTCCACTGGTTTTGGAAAAAACTCCCCTTGAACTGAGTTTTTGGCACGGGACGCAGCGTGAAGGAAGACTGCTCTAGCGCGGTGGGCACACTCTGTTTGAGAGTAGACGTGTTGGATTTCTCCTTCTGACTCACACTCCATTTTAAACCCTTACTCTCTTTGCCACTTTTACTTTCCTTGATGCTCTGACTTTCTTTTCCCTTGGAGCCACAGCTGAGCGAGGTTTGCTGGGTTTTCTCTAGAGTGCAGACCACAGGACGGCCAGTTTGAGAACTTTGCCTCACTGGGCTGGATGGCTTTTCCTTCCCACTCGTGCGAGTATGAGGGCGGATCAGATCCCGCCCTCCCATGCTGGTACAAGCATCCGTGCACTCCTTCGTCTCTTGTGCTTGTCTATCCTTTTGACCCCTGGGGTCGGGATTGTCCCTTGGGGATTTCAACAAAAGCGTACATGGATGTTGCAGATCAGACTCCGACAACTGACCTGACTTCCCCAGTTTTTTTGCAGGACTCGACAAATCATCGTTTTGAAGGATGCCATTGTTTCGTGCAACAGTTGTGTCCAGTTTTCTCTTGCTGGATGGTCTCAGGTCAGAATTGGGCGATCCCTCCTTGGTGGTTTCCCTACTTTCATTTGTTGACGGCTTGTCAGGCTGACAGTCGGTGTGTGAGCGAGGTCCTTCATCTTTTTCCTCACTACAGACGGCGTGTTGTGATGCTTGAGGGATGTGTTGGGTGTGTTGTGATGCTAGAACAATGTGTTGGGTGTGTTGTGAAGTTGGAACAATGTGTTGGGTGTGTTGTGAAGTGTGTTGTGATGTTGGAACAATGTGTTGGGTGTGTTGTGAAGTGTGTTGTGATGCTTGAGGGATGTGTTTAGCATGAGGTGAAGCTGGGGGCCTGTGTTTAACACGTTGTGAAGCAGTAGGTTTATGTGTTGCTGCTACTGTCTCAAAGTGCCAGGCTGGTGACAGACAAGAGGAAGAGTGTGGCTCCAACGCGCTGAGCCTTGACCTTGCCACAGCAAACTTCTCCCTGCCGGCTCTGTCGTACACCACGGTGGGGCTCTCGGAGCCCGCCCCCACCTCCCCACTGTCCACAGCACCTGCCGTTTTCGCCACATCCGAGCACGTCTGGTGAGGCAACGACTCTGTCGCCGACGTCTGTCCGGGTGGGGGCGGTAGCCGGCTGCGCGTCTGTGTCTGTGGCGACGCAAAAACTGGCTCTGTCTGGTGCAGATTCCACACTGCCCGCACAGACATGACACTGTGTCCCTGCGAGGGTTTCGCACGTCTCGGCGAAGAAGCATCGCGTCTTCTCTTGGGGGACAGTAGCTGGCCAACGCGTCGGAGTAAAGATGGAACGATACCAGAAATGTGGATGAAACCCGGAACGCTGGGGTGTCGTGAGCTATGTTTTGAACCAACTTCCTTCTTTTCTACGTTGTCCGACTCGGTAATCTGATCGCCCGACGAGGCGGTGTGCATCACGTCAAACAGCAAGTCTGCCACACTTTTATGCTGTGTCTCTGTCTGGCGTTTGGACAAACCGCCCAGCGAGGAGCCCACTCTTGCCTTGTCACGTGACTGCTTACCTACACGCTTTCCCTGTGGGGACGACAGTTTGGTCTTTCTACCCGTTGGAATTTTCTTTTTCTGAGTTCTTTTCGTTTGTGAAACATGGCTTCTCCCCCCGTTTTGGAAATGTCCTCTCCTTGGGCTGGCCTGTTCTCTAGCAGTGCACCTCTCCCTGTGAGCCATCAGGTCGCCAGAGAGCAAATCCTGCGCCGCTTCGTTCACCGTGAAAGTCGAACTACTTTTGTTCCTGCTCACGCTGAGCCGTCGCGACTTGTGCTTGCGTTTGCCACCAGGTGGCGGCACGACGATATCTTTGCTGTGGCCGGGCGGCACCTTCCGATTTGTCTGGCTCCTCCCGTCTCGACCCCTGACCTTTGAGACTGCGGTTAGCGGCGGCTTGTCCGTGGAGCTACTGGACGGCTGAGAGAAGGACAACTTGTCTTGAATCTCGTCCGCCTCCAGGTAGGTGACCTCGTTAAACTCGTCAATCATCACGTGGGAAATTGTCTCTTCTCCCGTCCACGCCTCTCCTCCCCTCCAGCTTCCCCTCTCTGTGCACTCCTCTCTTCTCCCACACGCCAGGCCCCTGGTCGCCGTGCTGCGTCATCTCCCGCGCCGCTGGCAGCACACGCGGGGAGACGGGGGGCTTGTGGTGGACAACTCCCGACCCCTGCTGGTCACCCTGACCCCGGACGCCACCCGTCTTGACCTTCCCAACAGCCCGGTGGGAGGGGAGGGAGCGGAGGGAGGGGGCAAAGGAGTGAGAGGGGAGGGAGGGGATGAAGGAGTGGGAGGGGAGGGAGGGGTTGTGTTGACTCATCTCCACCACCAGCGCCAGTTCCGTATCGTCCCGCAACTGTTTCGCTTTGGCCGGTTTGCCGGTGAGCCCGGCCTCTTTAGAGTTGTGCAGGCTGGATATAGTTGGAGCTCTTCTGGCTCCACTCTCCGCCCTCCTCATTCCACTCTCCGCCCTCCTCCCTCCACTCTCTGCCCTCTTCCCTCCACTCTCCGCCCTCCTCCCTCCACTCTCCGCCCTCCTCCCTCCACTCTCCGCCCTCCTCCCTCCACCACTTTTCTTTCCTCGAGACCAGCTTAGCTTTTCTTTCTTTCCATGTAGAGTACCCTGCCTTTCTTTCCACCTCAGCAGTGGGCTTTGTATTTTTTCTTTCCTCCGCAAAGGACTTGGCATTTCTTTCCTTCCTGACAGTGATCTCACCTTTTCTTCCTTCTCCAAGAGCAGATTCTGTCTTTCTGTCTTCCTGCTCAATACCTGACTCTGCAGCCATTCCCGTTGGTGGGACGCTTTCCTCGGACTTTGCTCGTCCTGTTTTTCCCTCCAAAACCGTTTTCCTGAACTGGTTTCTCCAGTGTGGAGGAGCGGACTTGCAACACCCTCACTTGTAGACGCACGCATTCCTCCTTGTGGGTTTTCTGTCACTCCGTCTTTGTACTCGTCGCTGGGTGTGGTTCTGCTGCAGACACTGGCCACGTCCAGACAGCTGAGCTCCTCCCGGGGAGAACAGAACACAACGTTCTTCTTGGCTGGCAAGTCTCTGTAAATAAACAAAATAAACACCGCTCACATTTTAGAAAATAAACAAAATAAACACCACTCACATTTTAGAAAATAAACAAAATAAACAAAATAAACACCACTCACATGTTAGAAAATGAACAAAATAAACACCACTCACATGTTAGAAAATAAACAAAATAAATACCACTCATATTTTAGAATACCATTACTAATCCAACAGTGACACACAGTCGTGACAGTGGAGTCTGCTGAAACAGAACACTATTACTCCGAAAAACAACGGAAACTGAAAGAAAAGAAAATCCCCAATTTTTTTCCGTCTATTCGAGCAACCTCTCCAAACTGAAAATCCGGCAAACCCGAAAAAAAAATCCAGCGGTCTTGCAGATTTCAGTTTAAGATGACTCCAAAGTAGGCTAGATCTACCTCTGTTTCCCCACACACATGGATGTGAGGTATTGGCTTTCTGTGTTTTTTGGGAGGACAGAGAAGTACATCAACTCAGCAATAGTCATTTAGTGCTTGCAAATAGGTATAGTGTAGTTTAGTTTAGCTTTAGTAAGAGTTTTACTGCACCTGCAACACCATTAATTGGCTGCTTGCACTGTGTGCTTCCCAGGAAGCCAAGAATGTTTTATATGTGTTCATGGGTGGTTGGCGGTTGCTCTAGAGCGGTTTGTTCCTTCTTTCCTATCAAACATCCATCGTCCTTAGCTCTCCTCCTTCTTTTTTGTGTTTGCTACTCTCTTGTAACACCTTTAATCTTCGGCACTTATATGAACTTACTGTTTTGCAAGAGCCGTAAACCTCTTACTAAAACTAAAAAACCCAGAAGAAATGTGTTCAAGGGTCTATTGGGGTAAAAACTAGTTAGAAAAGGCATAGAGTATACTGTAGAGTTAGGACATGTGCTACAGAGAAGCAGTTATCATTACCTTCGGACTGAAGCACCATCTAGCCTCACAGCCTCTTGCTCTCTGTACTTTGTATCTTCAGCCGCAGGATTGGGCACACCCAACTTTTTCTTTTTCTACAACAGAGTGAAACAAAACAAAAATAAAAATGATGATTTTGATAGTCAGCTTGGCCAGAAACAACAATGACCATGGTCAGACATAACTACTGTTTTGGTGTATTGGGAGGCCTGGGGTGGAGGGAGGGGGGGTGGGGAGGAAGGAAAGAGAGGTTGTTCATTGATTGATTGGTGGATTAGTTGTGGCGTCGGTGGCCTAGTGACTTGTAATTATGAGGTTGCGGGTTAAGGGGTTCGAGCCACGGGCCCGACGTTGTGTCCTTGGGAAAGGCATTTTACACAAATTTTCCCCACTTCACCCAGGTGGAAATGGGTAACCGGCCATAGACAGCGAAAGATCTTGTCAGTATGTTAGTGTTTTAGCGCCTATAAATGGCCGCTGGCACTGTACACTTCCCAGGAGGTTGAGTTTGTTTCAGAATGCTCTAAGGTCTGCTGGGATAACAGTATAGATTATGAACCGCATAGGGCTTGCTGTTGAGCAGGGATTTGCGCTATACAAAGCTATCTATTATTATTATTATTTATTCTTTTTCTTTTTGTTTCTGTTTCTTGCTGCTTTTTGTTTTTTGGGGGGTTTTTTTTTAGAGGTAGGGGTGGGGGGATTATGAAGATAAACAGTTTGCTGTCACCAGCAGAGGGCCCCATCTTGCCTGCTTGCGAGGTGCCAAACATATGCCACTCGCTCTTTGGTGATATGTCAACTCCACTCGCTCTCTGGTGATATGTCAACTGACAAAAATAATATTGTTGTTGTTATACCCTCGCCGAAACAATTTAGATCATTTAAGAGGCAGGCTTGGACCCTGCCTGTCAGTACCAGCCTGGTCTGGGAGAGAAACAACATCCCAGTAGAATAACTTTTTTTTAAAAGTGGGATTTTTGCGGCACTTGCAACACAATAAGGTCATATAAGTGCCGAAGATTAGAGGTGTCACAAGAGAGTAACAGACACAAAACAGAAAGAGGAGAGATAAGGACGATAGATGTTTGATAGGAAAGAAGGAGCAAACCACACCAGAGCACCCACCAATGACCTACGTAGATTAACTGACATATGCGAGAAGAATTCTCCCAACTCAGGAAATTAACTCAGGTCTCCTGCATGCCACAGCGGAGTGTCTAACTGCTATACCACAGAGTCTAACTGCTACACCACAGATGCCTGTGTTAACTGATAATCAGGGACAGAAAAATGTGGACCCCAGAAAGCTGACAGCGAGTGTTCTTTCCATCTTTCAAACTGCAAATTGAGCATACAAAGTCAGGCGCTTGTCAATAAGATGAAATCGAAGAAACCAACATTTTTCTGTGCAATTTTTATAGAATTTTTGTTTAAGGGCCCTGCACCTTGTCCCTTTAAAAACACATTTCTGTGTGGATTTTACACCCAAAAAAACTTGACCAAAAGCACAATAAACATAAATTTGCTTTTAAAATATGTCCCACACAACAAAACGTATCACACAAAGGGTTGAGTACATCTTACACAACATGCACCAGTTACCTTCCGGCCTCGGCCAATTCGCCTGTACTTGTTCCACAGAAACTCAAATGTCACCCACAGCCTGCGTGCAGAAGTATGAGAGAATACTGAAATTTGTCAAAGTAACTAAAGTACCCGTACAATTGGACCCGCTATAGCTACCACCTGTTCAAGACAATCATATGTACAAATGACCACTCCCCCCCCCCCCCCCCCCAGCATTTTTTTCTACCTCCTGACTCTGTCCAAGAAGTCCAGCTGTCTAAGATGACCAATTTTTTCCTCGACAATTAATTGTGAATGTATTTATTTTACAGCACTATTGAGACAGTTGATCACGTAAGCAACACACCAATACTCCATTTCTTTCATCCGTTTTAGTCAACAGGAATTAAAAGGAAAAAAAAGGACATTTAAAGTTTGTCCGTTAACGTACAAATCTATTTTAAGAACCTTGATAATAAAAATAGTAAGTCAATTAATGTAAATATGCAAGAAAATTATATTCTACGATCGATTCATTCACATGTTTGTAATTTATAGATCTAAACATACTGTATCTATTATTTTTGTTACATTTATTTCCTTAAAATTGTTTTTTTTTTTTTCCCAGTAAAAATGTTAAAAACAACATTCATGATTCATATTTCATCTAAGCATCTACATAGCTCTGAAATATAAGTTTCTTTGAATTAAAAACCAGGGATAAAAAGCTTGTGAAAGACAAGAGCCATGGCAGGGATCTGTCACTAAACGAAATCAACGGGAACTAAATTTGTGTTCCGCTCAACGAGAGCAGTGATACTGACGAGCAGAGAGAGAAGGAAAATCCCAGTAGAAAGAACTGAAAGTCCGGGAGTGTGAGCACCGACATGTGTGCGTCTGCGAGGTCATCCGCGTGTCTCGCCCCAAGGGAGCTGGGCTCAGAGTCTCTCAGGAAAAGCCAATTCAGCATTTCTTCTTCCATCGTCTCCCTTATGTCCTGCCGCAAGTGTTGTCCTGAAAGTCGAGTGATTCTGGGAGAGCCAGAGGGTGCTTCATGCCTCTGGAACAAAACAACCCATATTGTCAAAAGCTTCCTCGAGGGGGCCATTCCACACAAAGTGACACATGTAATGCATTAAAGATAACCTGCTGAATAAAAAAGGATTTTAAGCAGCGATAGATCCAATCTTTATAATCAATTTATCATCTATATAGACGGGAGGGGGGTTAGAGCCAATATTTGTCTACAATTTAGCCGGCGGCTGACTTTGAATTAAGTTATAGGTATCCACAAATATTCTGTTACGCCTGTCTGTTCAAAAGTAATGGTCAGTAGCCAAATGTCACTTTGTGGGCGGTTGGCGGGTGCTCTGGTGTGGTTTGCTTCTTCTTTCCTATCAAACATCTATCATCCTGATCTCTCCTCCTTCTTTTTTATGTTTGCTTCTCTCTTGTAACACCTCTAATCTTCAGCACTTATATGACCGTATTGCGTTG